AATGCAAAAGTTTAAGTGGCCACTGAAATAAGTATAAGCCAAAAGGGAGAGAGCAACTGAATGAAGCTGCCAAGTGTCAGTCAGCAGTAGCCATGCTGCCTGTGAATCATGCTCTGGGACTGAGCTCCGGTTGGTTGCTAGGAAGAAAAACTAAAGCATCGAAAACTTCTGGGTCCCACTGAATTGAACCCCTTTCTTGGGCACTAAAGAGCGCCAAGGAATGAAGGGAAATGGTCTCATGCGCTCATCTCCATTCATGGCTCAGTACTGTGCCAGCTGTATTATTCTTAAACATCTATTAACATGATTGCTTCATAATTACAAAGGCTAACTGCCAAGCATTTTTCACAGGAAGCAAGGCAATGCTTGTCTTTAATTGCTCTATTGGCTGGTGCAAAAGGGTCAGCATTTAAAAAAAAATCTTTTAAATCTTTATTTGATTGAAGAAACACCTCTAAAAATACCATTTGAGGGGCTTCAAGATAAAAAAGAAAAAGCACATTCAAGGCACAAAACTAAATAACTACAACAATATAATGATTTGGGGGTAGGGTGTACAGGATTCAGGATGATGGAAGTCATGCCATTCCTCCCGTTATGCTGTGCTGCCAGAACTCTAGTTCCAGAGACCACCCTCCATGCCATGCCAGACCTACTCAGGTTCCCAATCAGGGGGCATGATTCTTGATCCTCAAAGGTCCATTCCACCCATGTCCCTTCTCCATCCTCCTCCATGCTCCCTGGAAAGGGGCAGAGCTAAGCACCCACGTGTGAGGATTGGTTGCAAATCCTATATTGTCTCAAAGCTTCAGGGAAAAGGGGAGAGGGAGCGACTAGTATTTACCGAGCACCTAGATGCCAGATGTTTTCATGAACATCACCTCATGAACAAACAAATCTTTTCCTTGTTTTGTACATAAAGGAAACTGGGACTGAGACTGGTTATAAAACCAGTCCAAGGTCAACCCAAATGCTGATGAGTAAATTAGGTTAAAATTTGAGCCAGGTCTGAGTCCAAGGTCTGTTTTATAATATCATGCTGTCTCCTGATCATAAAACACTCATTTTATATGGGAGCATAAATGGCCCGTTTCTCCCAGGACCTAGCAAAATATCTCAACTTTTATCATCACTTCTAGAGACCTGATAATGTTTAGATCTTGTCATTCATTTGCCCAAACCAATGAAGCTATTTATTTTCATCTCTGGTAATAAACTTTCTTAACTCAGCATTTTTCAGGAAAAAAAAATCTAAATTCTTGAATGGCTTCATTTCACACTCATTCTCTGTGTGTGCATCCTTTTGGCTTTTAAAAATAGAGTCCAAATCATTGCGTATTCAGATATGAAACACAGGAAGGAGCAACGGGAACACCAATGTGGTCTCCGGGCGAAGAGTACCTGTGTCTGTAGTTACCCCAAATTAAACAGAAAACTCTCAGATTCATAAATAAACCAAATACTATCCTACGCCTGTAGACTGGGATTCTACCCCTCTCTTCACAGTTACTACCCTGGCTAAGAACATTTGATTCAGCCTCATTATTTAAAACTAGAGGTCTGAAATTCATGCGTGGGTATGGTCCCTAGGCCTGGCCTGCGATCAAGGCCATCTTCCCCAGCTGCCCGCAGCCGGCCCTGTCCCGATGCCACCCACCCCCAGTTCCCTGTTTGCCACTGTGTGATCGATGCCTGACCCAGAGGTTGGCTGTTCCCGCCTGCTCGCCCACCCCACCCCCGCCACGGGTGGCCATCAGGCAATTGGAGCCTGCCGGCTGAGGAAAGAGACTAAGACAGGGTGGGCAAACTTTTTGACTCGAGGGCCACATAGAGGCCTGGTGCACAGGTGGGGGCAGGCTGGCCTGCCCTGAAGGGGGCCCCAAATCAGGGTGGGGGGATCCCCGCTGGGGGGGGGTGTGGCCTGGGCAAGGGGCTGCTGCAGTTTTCAGGCCAGCCATGCTCCTGATTGAGGTAGGGGTCCCCGCTGGGGGATGGGGGCAGCCTGGGCTTGGGGCTACTGAGGGCTTGCAGGCCACAACCCCGATCGGGGTGGGGGCGGGGCCAGGCAGGGTGAGGGGCCACGGGCAGTTTGCAGGCCGGCCACACCCCTGGCCTTGTCAGGAAGGATGTCCAGAAGACGCCCAGTCTATCCCGTTTAATTAGCATATTACCCTTTTATTAGTATAGACTAGAGGCCTGGTGCACGACATTTGTGCACTGGGGGGGAGGAGGGGTTCTTCAGCCCAGCCTGCACCCTCTCAGGAAGCGGGCCTAAGCTGGTAGGTGGACATCCCCCGAGGGGTCCTTAGGGCTGCGACGGAGGTGGGAGAGGCTCCTACCACTGCCATTGTGCTCACCAGCCAGAAGCTGGGCTCCCTGCTCCTTAGTGCTGTCTCGGAGGCAGGCGAGGCTCCCACCACCGCTGTGCCCACCAGCTGTGAGCCTGGCTTCTGGCTGAGTGGTGCTCCCCCTGTGGGAGCACACCAACCACCAGGGGGCAGCTTCTGCATTAAGCATCTGCCCCCTGGTGGTCAGTGCGCATCATAGTGACCAGTGGTTCTGCTGTTCGGTCAATTTGCATATTAGCCTTTTATTATATATGATGATGATGATGGTAAGACTTGTTCTCTTAAGTTCCTTAAAAATTCTATAGTTAACTGCAACTCATTGGCCTTTCCAGAGATAACACAATCTGAAATATTTCAAATCCCACCACCATAATCCTTTTTAAAATCTTTGACAAATGCAAAGGACATACCCATCTTCCAGTTAAATTTCCTTTTGAGTCCAACAAGAAATCAAGAAGCAAAGAAAAAGGTATAGTGATCCAGCTAGTGCTAGACCGTGATTTATAGTGTTTGGGAAACAGTTTACTTAATGAGGAAATAGCATAAAAGTTTGCTTATCTTGGTCACAGGTACTATAATTCATATCCCTAAAGGGTAGAGAGAAAAATCATTCTTTTCCAGGAAAGACAATCCTATGTAATAAAAGGCTAATATGCAAATTGTCCCCTCAACCGAGAGACTGACTGGGAATTCAACTGGATGGGGCTGGCCAACTGCCCAGGGCCCCTCTCCCAGCCAGCACTGCCCCCGATTGGCCCCTCCCAACCCTGATTGGGGGTGTGGCCCACCCTCCAACTGCCTGCGGCTCCTCCCCCTGGTCAGTCTGCCCCAATTGGCCCTGATCGGGGCGGGCCGGCCAGACCCCACCTGTGCATAAATTCATGAACTGGGCCTCTAGTAATACCATAAAGCTCCTTCCCTCTTGCTTAGCCTGATATTAGATATTCACCTGATACTATATGTTTACAATGAAAATAATTCTGCGGGTGCTGGTCCTCACACAGATGCCCGCAACCCCTGCTTTCGAATCTTATACTCGGAGACAACATCTAACAGGCTACCTGGCTCAATCCTTACTGGATAGCAGACAACCTACCTTCCCAGGGCAGTTTCCTCCTCATTTCATGCCCCTCATCAGCCCACCACTTCCATTTTCCTTCCTCACCCACATTTACACAAGAGTTCTGAGGCATGAGACACTGTGAGAGCAAATCACATCTACCACCCCCTGGTAGAGCTGAGCAAACACTAGTCACTCAAAAATACCTTTCCCTGGCCTGATTCCTGGGTTTAATTTCCTAATGAAGTGATCATTCCTTCAAGATGGAGGATCAGAAGCATTTCAATGGCTGTGTGTAGTTCTTATTTACTTCATCAAAGGTTCTTTGGACATGGTCAAGCCTACAGGTACATGTAGTAGAGGAGATACTTTGGGGGAAATGCCTCCTTTAGCCACTCTAGCAGATGTCAAAATGGGGGAGAGAAGTAGTGGGCAATTTCTCTCTCCACATATACAAATATTCACCCTTTCTGGCCACCCATGCAGGGACCTTATAAGCAGAAGTCCTTGTCAGGAAACTTTAGTCACTCTCGGGTAACTCCATCTTCAAGATCATCCTTCTACCTCATTCATGTGAGGACAGCTCAGTACTCTCAGTACAGTGCTTCTCAAACTACAAAGTGCTTATGAATCACCTGGGGACTTGGTGGAAATGCAGATTCAAATTTAATAAGTCTGGGTAGACTCTAGTGCCTGCATTTCTAACATGCCTTCAATGGACACTGATGCTGCTGATTGCAAACCACGCTGGAGTAGCAAGGTCCGCGTCTCTTTCCTCTCCCAGAACTGGAGCACATTATACCTTAAGTCTTGTGGCTGGTTATCCACCAAAAGAACTAAGCCAGGCAGGAGACGCAGAACCTTGGCATGCTGCTCTCACTGCCCAGACTCCGGGCCTTCCTTCCTGCCCAGGTGGAGTTGCCACATTCTTGCTTAGCTAAATGACCAACCTGGCTCAGCCTCCCCAGCCTATCTGATACCACTCTGCCAGCAACTCAAACATCCGGAGCACCTGCTCTAGGACACATTCCTGGGCCCTCACCTGAGATTCTCATTCATTAGGTTGGGAGTGGCCCCAAGAAGAAACAGACACTCTAGGTCAGTGGTTCTCAACCTTCTGGCCCTTTAAATACAGTTCCTCATGTTGTGACCTAACCATAAAATTATTTTCGTTGCTACTTCATAACTGTAATGTTGCTACTGTTATGAATCGTAATGTAAATATCTGATATGCAGGATGGTCTTAGGCGACCCCTGTGAAAGGGTCGTTCAACTGCCAAAGGGGTCACGACCCATAGGTTGAGAACCGCTGCTCTAGGTGGTTCTGATCCATTAACAAATTTTTGGGAAGGAAATACATGTAACCTCCTCAATGGATTTGAGAAACCTGAATGCTATGGTTGTTAATGCCTTTACGTCAGGGCAGAATGGTTAAAAACAAAACAAAACAAGTTGAGCATCTCATACTATGATAGAACTATTTTCCCCCCAACTTCAACACTTGCTTAGGGGCATTTATGATTATTTCCAGTGCATTCTGTCTTTTTCTTTTTTATAGAAGTTCACTAAAAGTGTAAAATATGTCCTATATATCCCATAGAAAATTCTTTTAATGTAGGTATGATTAAAGATACACTCAATGAGAAAAGTATCAAAGGAATGATTATTTGCTCCCCTGAATGAACTGAAATGGAGTTGTTCATATACATACAATTTAAAAAATATATCCAAGAAGAACAAACACTGATATCAGTTAACAAAAATAAGGACTGCACATTATTACCTTTAAAATGGCAAAGGCAGATACAAAATACAAAAAGTAACTTTACTTTGACTTTACAGATGAAATGTCCTCCCTAAGAAAGGCTAGCATTGGCTATTTAGTCTCTGGGGCAGATGTGGCATCTTGCTGGGTGCCAGCCTCTGTGGGCACAGCCTCGGGGCCAGCCGCAGCAGCAGTGACTTCGGAGACAGCGGAGGTGGCTTCTGGACTGGAACCAGTCCCTGCCCGACCAGGGGTGGCCTCAGTCTGAGAGGCTAACAGTTCGTGACTGACGCTGGCATCTGTTAGACAGGGGATGTCAGCCTGAGTAGGCATGCCCTCTTCTTCTGTTTCCATTTCTGTTTCCTGGCTTTGAACTTCCTCACTTTCCTCTACCATAGCAGGTGGTAACTGCAATAACGTCTAATAAAAAAATAAAGGAAAATATCAGTATAAATGAACTCAAGTAAAAAGAATTAGCTTATAAAGTTAAGCTCTCACATTAACATTATCTTCCTAATAAATACTGTTCACTCTTAAGTTCTCCAGAACAATGCTGGCCATTTCATTTTACAGATGAAACAGCTCTGATGACAATGGCCTACGTTTTGCTGAATATGCCAACACGGATATCACAAATGATCAAAATACATATTAATTCTCTAGAGAGGAAAATAATATGAAAACCTATTAGATTTTTTAGCAAAGGAATTTGCTGTCACACTTCTGGAAAAACAGTGGCTGATTAGGACTTATTAACACACCAAGTCGAGAAGGGCCAACTTTGATCAAGGAGCCCTGTGAGGGGCAGGGAGAAACCAAGCCCTGGGACAAAGCCATGGCAGAGAGGGGGAAGGTACCAGACTCTGTCCCACCCGAACACTGGAGCAGCTCTAGATGCCTGGCTGCTGGAACAGGTGGGAAAGGGATTAGTGAAAAATGAGAGGGCTTACCAAGAGGCATGAGGACACTTTGGGGGATAATAAATATGTTCATTATCCTGACTGTGACAATGGTTTCACAGGTTTATACATGTGTCAGAACATCATACTGTATACTTTAAATAAGTGGCTTTTGTTGCATGCTAAATTATATCTACATAAAGATGTTTTGAAAGTATGGATGTTACATGAATAATAACAACCCCTTTTGGTTTAGTTGGTTTTCTACAAGGAATCACATATTTAAAGATTTATTCTGAGGTGAAAGGAATACAATCAATAATACTGTGATAATGCTGCACAGTGATTCCTAAATTAGTGGGGTGATCACATTGTAAGGCATAAAAATGTGAAATCACTATATTGTACATCTGAAACTAATATAACTAATAATATTATAAACCAGCTACACTTAATTTTTTTTAAAAAAATGATATATTCTGCAACAGATAAGATTCTTTAGCAAGAAGAAAACTAAGAGTTAGTGCTGAGAAAACTCACCTGATGATAGTGATGGGTGGTCTGTATCAGGTGCATATACATGTTGTACACAAAGTTTGCCATTTGGGGCATATTCTTTATTACCTGTACTTCATGAGATGGCCTCTCTCCATTCTAGAAAAGGCAAAAAGGAAGTTAAATATAGTGAAAAACACTAAAAGCTAGCATTCTAATAGGAGCCCATCTCTCTGTTTTATGTGTAAGCACTACTGGGTTTAGAGGACATAAAGATGTAAGTGTGAGAATCTAATAAAGAAGGAAAAAGAGTGAATCCATTTAAATGTAGAAAATGTAGAGGAGGGAGCCAAGAGTCACTAGCTTTTAATACAATTTTCAGGCTAGTAAGTCCAATATGAGTTTTGGTCCACTAATGTAGAAGAAAAAGAGAGAGCAATCATTTGGAGAGAAAAATCACTAAAGTCTAAAGTAATGGTTCCTCATACCATATATGCTCCAAAGGCAATTCTCAAGATTATTCTGAAAGAAAATGTTAAAACTGTTCTTCCTACTGATGTTTTTCCAAAAAATAAGAAGCTAACATTTACAATGAGAAGGTAACAATATCTAGACTGTCAGTCATGAAGGTGAACATTCAGAAGGAATTTTTACTAATAAAGAATGCATATGCAGTAAGAGATGTTGGCAAACAGTAGCTAAAGTGTCAGCGTTGTGTATCTATCAGGAGCATCTGGGGGAGAATGTTCAATCAGAGGCCTGGGCCTGGCCCCAGAGATGTTCATCAGTGTCTGAGGTAGAAGGAGGTGCTGCAAGTGGAGTAGTATCTGACCACAATCTCTGAAACAATGCTTTCTATTTGTTCAGGAAAGTACAAAATTTGCACTTCTTCCTAAGCCATACTAGAATAAAGATGAACCCTATTTATAATCAATCATACAAAGTCTCCCCTTTCTTACTACAGGAAAAATTCAGAAAACCATAAAGGTAAAAAACTTTTATCAAGAAATAAGAAAATAAAAGTGACTTAAATAAAAGTGGCAAATCATTTAAGGCACATACAGTTAGAAATACTCAGTGCATTAAGTAGCATTCCCAGAGTTCGGCAGGGTGGCAGGCTCGCATGTCAGCAGGTGTTCTTTTGCTAATGGTCACTTTCTGCAATGGTCGCAGCATGTGTGTGCAGAGGCTCCCATGCTGCTACCACCACAACACTGCCTTCAAAACAGGAGGGTTTTTTGTTTTGATCCGTTTGCTTATTTTCAGGTGGCTTTGCTGGGGAGCTGCCTCTTCTGGGAGGCAGTGCTAGCTGCTCAGCCCTCACTGCCCATCCCCACAGCCTCTTGAGCAGAGCATGGGGAGATGCTATCTGACCTCAGTCCCCAGGCGTGAATCCATGGTGCTGTGCAAAGCACCAGTTTCTACACTTCTGCTCATTCATATCGCCTGAACTGCACTCCCAGTTTTCACCAGGTGTGTCCCTGCAGCCCTTGGATTCAAAGCACCTGGGGAATCCTTTCAACCCCAAGACACAGAGGCTCTGCCCCAGACCTGTCAGGAATCTCTGCTTAATCACTAGCCCAGAACAGATGGAGAGCCTCAGCGCTACAGGACGGTGTCCAAACTTCAGAGACTGACACGCAAGGCTTTACATGACCCCGCCCCCATCAGCTCTCTCCGCCGGTCTCTCCAATCCCTCTACAGCCGCATTTCTTTACCTTTTTGGAAAGAACTTAGCGTTATTATAAAACAAACACACAGAATTTAATCTTGTTTTTTCTCTAAGAGGGAAAAAAATGTACTGTAAACATTTAAAAGTTTTGTTTAAATTCCAATGGATCTCCAAGACATTTCATTAAATGAAAAGGCAAAGCCCAAGTCTATATAGTATGCTTACCTTCAGGTAAGAAAGAAAATAAACAGGTATCTGTTCCTTTGTACCAAGGTAATATATAAAGAATAAACCAAAAACTAAAGAGATTGCTTTTATGGGGGGAGAGAAGAAGAAAGGGAAGAAAGAGGAGGGAGAGGAAACCGGAAGCAGGGATGAATGAGGAGGGAGTGGTATTTCTCTGAGTAGAACTGTTTGTTAAGTATACGTGTATGTGCTGCTCCCTCCCACATTTTCCCAGAATGTAAGTTTCTTAAGTCTTCTCCAAGAGCTAGACTATTTATTACTCTGTTAAGTTCTCCTTACAAAGCTACACAATGACTATGAACATGGACTCTGGAGTCAGCCTGCCTGGGTTTTCAAATCTAGAATTCTTCATCTACTAGATGCACGGCCAAACTACTTCTCTAATCCTCAATTTCCTTATGCGTAAAATTGGGTTAATAAGAAAACCTCCTGAGCAGGGCTGTTACTGAGATGAAATAAAATAATGTACATAAAGAACTAATTGCTTGATACATGATGAGTACTCAATAAATGTTGGCATATATTATTTTTATATAGAAAATCTAATTTAGTTCCTTAATGCAAGCAACACTCTTAAATTAGTATGTAACTGGAAGATCTGTCTGATCACGTTCCTACCTAATGTAATCATCCATAAGAATACAGCTCAATAGAATGAAGAAGTCCTACCTTTCTACAGGTTGGGAAAGGTTCCGTTGGAATTATATGCAAATGAAGTGGGCGGGCTGTGAGCTGGCTGAAAGCTGGAGTGAGTTCGAAACAGTTTTGGAAGAGGGATACTCTGGCGAAGATATAAAGTCCAAGTCTGGCTCGAGACATGGCCACCACTAAGCGACGAACATCCCTTTGGGAAACAAACAAAATTAACATACATCAAGATTAACAACACATTTATGTAGCTTTTAAAATTTTTCTTACATATTCTACTAAATATTCCTATTAAGCTGTGTCAATAAAAAGTTAAGTTTCTTCAAAACTTAATAAACATTAAGTTAATCAATGTTATGTGACTAGTAAACCAAGTACAAAGATAATGCTTTATCGCTAATCTATGCGTTGGCTTCTTCTTTTGGGAGAGATCACAAAATAACTGATGCACTGACTAAAAAGATCCAAGTAGCTACATTGGTATTATGATATAGTTCAGTTGTCAGTCACCAGTATTAAGTCAATCTGCACCAACCTTCCTCCATTTCTTCACCTACAAACTCCAATGCTCCTCAAAATGAAATTTTACTTCCTGGGTAATTCTCACCACAGATTTATACTTATTTGTAATAATAATTACAAATATAATCATATATAGTATGATGACATGGTATAACACCACATAATACCATGTCTTTTTTCATGTAGCCCTTACTCTAGTACCTGGGCTCAATGTGAGTTCGAAACAGTTTTGGCCTAAAGTAAGTAGGCCAAACATTTAGGTGAACATTTACTGTTCACATAAACAGTAATAAAATGGCTAAATTGAATGACACAACTACACATGTGACTAATGAATTATATCAGTTTTCTTTATCTTTTAAAGGGAATATATGCTTTTAAAACTTTGAGTCAAATCAATTTATAAAAAGAGTGATATCCATTAAGTCTAACTTTAGTATGTGTTTTAGTAAAAAAAAAAAAGATAATTTTAGTTTCAAATATAGAGGACAGTTTTTCTGGAGATGCTCTTACATATCTATTTGGATTTGGATTTTACAAAAAAGAAGACTTTCATGAATAATAATAAAGTCTGGTAAGATCATATCCCCCCACTACACAAAACTACGAGGTGTTCACTCAGGTAGGAGAAAACATGTCCCTTCCCATAACGTTCTGGTCTCCCCTTCACACCCAGAAGGCTCTCCACTCTAGGCAGAGCACAGATCCAGGGCTGCAGCAGCCCTGACCTGGCCCCTTGGAGGAACCGTGCTCTCGTCCTCAGGACTGCAGTGCAGCAAAGCGGCTTTACAAGCCTCATCTCCCTGCGCAGGAGGAGTGTTACACTAAGATCCTCTGCAGATGCAGGTGAGGGCACCTGCCAAGGATATGCTCAGTGTCTCCCCAACTGGACTCTAAGCTCCAAGAGGGTAGAGATCACGAATATTCGAATTATTTGTACAGACTCAGAACCTAACATACTGCCAAGTAATAGACTGACTTGAAAGAATTTATAATGAATGACCAAACACTATGAGCATGACAAACTACCAGTCAGAAAAGTAAGTGAGCAGACAGGGTTCCTTGGAGCTGTATCTTGAACTCAGGGCAATGAGATCACCACCTGCTTTCAGTCCCCCAAACAAGGCTGGGCAGAAACACTGTTCAACAACAGGCTGTCGTTCTGACGGACCCTTATGAGGACAACACAGGAAGTGACAGTCTCACTGCTCTGCACTGAGCAGGTCCCCAGCATTTCTACTGGTACCTGGGCTATTGAAATCAGGTGGGGGCAAGAACAACAAATGCTGGGAAAGGGACTAGAAATGTCTCACTACTCTGGCTTCTGAACGGGTCCACAGTGTCCTAAGACATGTTTCTGGAACTAAAGCAGAATAATCTGGCTCCTACCATCTCCTAAAGAGCCTACCCTGGATGAAAAAGATGTGGGCAAAGGCAATGTGACTGGCACAGGGAAACAGAAAGGGTTAAACGCAGAGTTACACATGACTTAGGTAACTACACCCGAGAGAAAGGAAAACATGTCCACACAAAACCTGGTACATGAATGTTCATAGCAGCATTATTCATAAATGGCCACAAAAAAGAAAAACCCCAAATATCCATCAACTGATAAATGATCAATGAAATGTGATATATCCACACAATGGATTGTTATTTGACAATAAAAAGGAATGAGGTATTCATACATGGTACAACAGGAATGAACCTTGAACACATTATGCCAAGTGATTCCATTTAAACGAAGTGCCTAGAATAGGTAAATCTAGGACAGAAAGGAAGATAGTGGTCGCCGAGGACCTGGGGAGAGGATTGTGAAGATAGCTGCATAAGTCCATTAATTAATATGCTAAAAATCACAGGCTTGTACACTTAAAATATGTGAGTTGTATAGTATATGAATTCTATCTCAATAAAGCTATTATTTAAAAGAGAAATAAGAAGGAAGTAGGTTTCCTTGATCTCTTGAAACGTAAAAAACAAAATATTAGAAAAAGAAAGATATGAAAGATTATCTCTGTAAACCAAAATATCCAAGAAAGGTTTGGTAAAATTCTAGCTAAGGTACCTAGGGAATTTACGTAATTGGAATCATAAATAATACTTAAATTAAATTTCCCCTGTATAATCTAACAACACCCGAACCATCACCAGAAACCCTGATGAAGAAACTGGACGTTCAAGAGCAAATTTTGGCAAATAAAGAAGATTGATTACGTGGATAATGGTATTTTAGCTTAGAAAATCTTGATATTAGACAATACCAAAATCAGGTTCTTTTTTAACCTTTCATTTATAATAAGCATTTTATCATCATCATCTATTTTATTTTTAAGTTTCTAGAAAAGTCAGGCAAAAAATAGCAGAGAGCTAGTCATGGGAATCTAGAAAAGACAAAGCACTACAGAGTAAGAAAAAAGGTGGGGAGGAGAGGAAGCAACGCTCATGCGCTCACACTGAGTTTTTACGAGATTTAATTATATAAATCGTAATGATGCCCCATTCAGAGAGCAGCCAGCTGTAACTCTCACTGCGGAAAAGGAACTGCTTTTTAGAGAAGTTAGTCTCCAAATACTTGCTTGACAAGTAAATAAACAAAAATAAACTGTATTTTAGAATCCTACGGTCTTCAAACAATTTCTTGAAACATTCTATCTTTGCTTACTCTTACATAAAGTTATCAGTCGAATGGAACCTGACCACTGGGCTAAGCTCCAAACAGCGCTTGACTTACTGATTACACTATGAGAGCTTCGAGAATTTTCTCTTTAATCTACAAAATAAAATAATAAAATGAACTCTCCATATAGTTTTGCTATTAAATCATATGAGATGAAGGTTTATATAAAATTAAACAGCTGCTTTGTAATAAGAAGACATTATTCCCATAAATCTCTAGCACATAAGTACATCACAATAAGTGACAAAAATAGATTATTGTTTGTTTTGACAATTCTTAATCCTGAGAGAACAAATGGTTCCTTTATCCTCTAACACTGAAGCTGAGAGACTGTGTGGAAACACCAGAGATCCTGTGTGATGAAAAAGTCATTCTGAAGAGACGCTTGTACCACTTTACTTTTAATTTCTGACAGATCCATTCTTACACTCCAACATATAGCACCAAAAGCTGTCATAACAATTAATTATACTTTAAATTTAAAGAAAGTAAAACTACTTAGCCACAGGAGTTTAAAACTGAAGCAGAAAGTAAAGTTCAATGACATTATGATAGTTTTTCCTTACGCACCTCAGATGGCCCACTGCCCTGGTTCGTACTAGAGAAAGAAGAATATAATCATTCTGTTGACCTTGAAACCTGTCAACAGTTGTCACCTAGAAAGAAAAAAAAAATGGTAAATATGGCATACTTAAAATAATCAATCCAATGTAAACATGACCATAGACTTGGCATTCAAACGATGAATTAATGAACATGAACTATGAAATAAACCACAGTAACCAGATGGCTATGTTCCTATGTTACTCATTCACAGGCTTCCCCTACTAAACTACTCAATTCCATGAAAGCAAGCACTGTGTTTAGCTCATTATCTGGTATCCTGGTTTGATGCCCAGCAATATAACTTAAGTGTGCTCACTTATTATTTAACACATTCCTAATTCTCATCTATAGCATTCCTCTATCAAAAAATAAATAATCTTCATAGTACTTATTGTTCAGTTTGAAAATACATGTACAAGTAAGGAAATTCAGGGAGGTTTCCGTCTAATGTTGGCACCCAAGCATTTACCTTTTTCATTAATTCAACAAGAAGTTTAAATGCTTATTCTGTAAAAATTACAATCATAGTCCTATCTTTGGAAGTTAACATTCTTTTTAAGTCAGCTTCACAGAGGTATAATTGACATACAGTAAAATGCACTCATTTAAGTGTGCAATTTGATATATCCTGACAATATATACTCCCTTAAACCACCACCACAACCAAACTTCCCAAGACCTCAGGCCCCTTGTTGTCAAATCTGTATTCCCCACTCCAGGCAACCACTGAGCTGTTTTCTGTCACTATAGATTTTTTTTTAAACTAGTTCTAGAATTCCATTAAAATGAAATCATACACTATGTACTTTTTTGCCTAAGTTCTTTCACTCAGCATATGTTTCTGAGACTCATCCATGTGTTGTGTACATTAAAGTTCATACTTTTTTACCTCATTACTATTCTACTGAATGCATATACCACAATCTGTTTATCTACTCACTTGTTCATGGCATTTGAATTGCCTCTAGTTTTGGGCTATTTTGAATAAAACTGCAATGAACATTCTTAAATATTTTTGTGCCATGTTTTCACTGCTGTTGTATAAAAGCTCAGAGTGAAATTGCTGAGCTGTGTGGAAAGTGTGTGTGTAACTTTATAAGAAACTGTCAAACTGTTTTCTAAAGTTGCGGTACCACTTTATACATTCATCAGCAATGTTCCAGTTCCAGAATTCCAGTCGCTCCACATCCTTGCCAACACTTTGTATATGTCAATCTTTATAATTTTAGCATTCTACAGTGTGCATAGTGGTATACCGCTATAGTTTCAATTTGCATTTCCCTGACAACAAATGATGGTAAGCACTGTTTCACATGCTTATTTGCCATTCGTATGTCTTCTTGTGTGAAATATCTGTTCAATACATTTGCCAATTTAGTAGTGGGTTGTCTTCATTTAACAGTGACTTTTACAGAAGTTCATATATTCTGAATTCCAGTGCTTTGCTCTTGTGTGTGGATGTTGTATTAGGAAATTCTGTTGCCATCCTTACCATGTGGAGAGCTTATCTCAAATGAGAATGGCTGGCAGAAGGATGAAATGAAACTTGGTCTCTGACTACATCACCAAGTCCCTCTAACCTGGAGCCATGCTACTTTCATCTTGCAATGGCAGGGAGTAACTGTCTTTATTATTTGAATTAAGTTTTTCTGTTTTTATAAATAAAAGAACTCAGATATTGAGTTTCTTCTATTTCTAAACTTCCTACATCTCAAACTTATTAGCTTCTCAATTTTGACTGTCTATACCCCTTACGGAGTGTCTAGTCCTCACCGCAGTCCTTTCAATTTTGTCTTCATTTCTATACTTTTGTTTTATTTTCTTCCATTTCATATTTTGTGTCTTGCCGAGTTCTTTAATTCTCTACTTTGTAGCCCTCCCTCTCAGATACGGTTACTTCATTAAAGTACTTTAAAATCCAAAGCTAAATGTGTATTCAAAATTTCATCTGTTCCAGGCCAACGTGTTTTTTTCTGGAACATGTATCTTGTCAATTAGTATGTTCTGATGCTCTTTATCTGATTTTTTTCCTGTATAAATTGAGCTTGTGCTGGTTTCCGCTGCCCCACTATTTCACCGCTGAGTAAGTGGGTTTCCTTACCCACTTATTATGCGAGTGATTAGGATGGGGTGAGCAGGACTGTGTTTTAAAGGCTGGATGTTTTTTGTTTTTTTGTCACAACCGAAGGTTCTCTTTTCTTCTGCTACTATAGAGACAGTCTATTTGCAAATAAAGCTATGGCACATACAGTTCACCAAGAGGTTTCTTTGAACCAATCTGGGACCAGGAAGGCGTCTGCTCACCCCAATTCCTGAATCCATTGTTCAGAAACAGGGGTGTGGCCCTTATATTCAGAGAATGCCACTCACCTTCATGAAGTGCACACTTGCAGGCATTTTCAAGACCAGTCCCCTAAATTCCCTTCTTCCCCCCATTTCCTTCATGATTTTTGTCGCCCTGTGTTATCTCACTAAAAACGGAGTCTGTCTTCTCTTCCTCCCATTTTCCTCTTACTTTTGGATTATTTCCAAGAAAAGGTGAAAGAGCTTTTATACAGTGACCAAAGTCCTAACCTCATCATTACTAATATATTTGTTTGGTTATTCATTCCGATTTTCAAGCCTTTATTGATAAAATCAAGCATATTTATTTATTTTTTTATATTACTCTCCCACATCTCATTTGTTGTGGACATGACCACAAAGCCTTTTTCCTACTAGGTTTTCTTTCTGCTACATTGTTAGCATTTGGCCTATTGGGAACATTTTATAAGCCCTTATTTTTTTTGCCTAGATCAGCACTATCCAATATCAATAAAACACAAGTTATATGTGATTTTGTAATAGCCATCAGTAAGATTTTAAAATAGCTGAGATCTCTGGAGTCTTGCTGATGTTCTGTCTAGCTAATCCTTCTGGGTTGCTAGCGACCAGACAGTTTGTTGCGATCACATGATCATCCTATATTCCTGTTATATAAGACTATGGATGTGGTAACTATGGATTGAGCAAGAATTATCTTTAAAAGGGTTAAGACTCAAACTCAGGAGGAACTAAGGCAGTGGAAGGAATCACAACATGTGAAATCCCTCAAATAAAAATTTATTAACTTTAAATAATTGTGCTTATGTTACACATAATAAATAAAAACCTTAAAAAAAAAATCCTAGGTCTGGATGCACTTCATAATTCTTCATCTAGGTTTGTCAGAGAATTACTTATAGTTCCTATGATAGCAGTTTCTCATATATCTTAAAAGGAGATAGCAAAGAGACGACGTGGGACAATATAAATAACTCATAATAAATACAAATCTTTCCATCTTTCCACCAACATCATAAATAAGAGAATATATGTATTATATTCATAAAATTACCTTATTTGGTCTTCCAATCAATGGATTGCTCCCACATCGTCTATTGATAATGTCACGAATAAGATGCTTTTGCCCATTATAAGTTGTTAGAATACTGATCTTGTCAGCAGGGTAACCAAGTAAACACATGTACATAAAGAGTGCCACTACATATTCTGCCTCTCCAAGATTCTGCAATGCAAACATAATCAGATTGTGCATTTATTTTATTTTCTTTCAATTTTATATAATTAACCAACTAGCACAATTTGTTCATTTATCACACTTCAGGCGGTGAAGAGTTAATAATTTGGACAAGTGAACACCTTACATGAAACTGATGAGTAACATTATCCTAGATTAACATTGATAAATAAATGTAGAATATTTTAAGTGTTACCCTTTAACATTTGCAATATATTTGTAATAAACATCATAAAAGTTACCAACTTAAAGACTTAACACTTTTGGGACCACAACAATCACAATGCAGATCGATAATTTTCTGCTGCAGGGTGCTGGAACGATGGCTATGGAAAGAAACATTAACATAAAGGGGCGAGGCAACTGGCTTAGAAGCCAGTGTAAGATTCAGTCTAATAACACATACATCCGGCAGTACTGTAGTCAACCTTCCATTTTTACACCATGCTTTTCCTTCTTCATACTTCACAGTATTTTTGTGTTTTGTGTTTGTTCTCTAGGTTAAGTGGGAAGAGGATGTGGCCTCATATTAGTCAGTCTGGCTGACTCCAGGGACTGGTCAAAGTTGGAGGAAAGGAGCTCCCCTGGGCCCGAAAGTCAGGAAGCTCACACAGGCTGCTGAGTGCAGGTCAGGAGAGACTGATGGAAGGAGTAAGAGATGAAGGGAGAGTGCTCGCTTTGGCAGCACATATACTAAAGAGATGAGGGGAGAGAGTAAAAGGAGAAAGAAGCATAACATATAAATCAAAAAAGAAAGACAAGAAGCTGCATGTCATGTCCAGGCCATAAGAAAATTACAGGAAGACCTTCAAAAAAGCCATTTATATTCTGTGACACTTGTGACACCCACACAGCTTATCTCTTAAATCTTCTGGTTCTTTGGAAGACAGCAGGGAAAAGAAGCTGCATGGCCGTGTAAATCTTACCAATTTCTTATCAAGAGCAAACTACGTTTATTTAAGCATACAGGTAAAAGGAATCTTTTGGTGTAAATGCTGCCAGGCCTTTTCATACCGATTACCAATATATATTTATATATGTTTGTTTTTCTGTTCCTTTTTATAAATAAAATGGAACACTATAGATATACTTATAACTTGATTTTTTCATTTAATGCAGCATAGACATTTTTCCTGCCAGCAAACCAGGTTATAATGTTGTCATTCTTAGTGGCAATTCAGTATTTCATTATATGGAATAGGTAACAATATAATTAATCCCTACTGATAAGACATTTAGGTTGTTTCTAATTTCCAAAATAATTTACAGTAAAAGGTAAAATAAACATTTTAGCATATAAGTCTTTTGTAAATTCATCTAATGTTTTTTAGAAAGAATTCCTAGAAATGAGAACATTGTGCTTTTTAATACCTACTGACAATCTACCTACCAAATTACTTTCCTACTAGCATTGCATGAGTATTGAATTTCCCCAAACCTACCCCAACATATAGTATCAGAGGTAAAAATACGTGCCAGTGATTTGTACTTGCTATAAACCTATATTTGTGTGTGTGAGAGAATTGCATATTCTTGTCCTTATTGCATTTTTTTTTGGGGGGGGGAGCTAATTTTTAAAAAAGCAAAAACAATTTATAAGAGTTTTATATACATTCAGATTTCAACCTGTTGTCTGTTAAATGTTGAAAATAATTTTTTTTTCTCAAACCAGTATTTTTCTTTATGATTTTTGCTTCTGGTAACAAGCTTAATAATCTCTTTCTCACCCAACATTATATATTCATCAATACTTCCTTCTTTCTGGAAAGTTTTCTTATAGTTTCCTTTGTGTCTATATCTTTAATCCATCTGAAATTAGATTTTTTGTGCTGTGTGTGAGGAGGGGATTTAACTTTCCTTTATTTAATGACTAGCCACATGGTTCATATCACTAATGTAGGTAGTAGTTCCACCTGCCAAATGCAAAATAAACTTAAAAGTCTTATGTTTTTTTCTTACCTGATAAAAGTAAGGATTAGGCTCAGACTCTCCCACTCCCTGAAAATCTTCAACATTGATGAGCTGGAAGTCATACAGCAAGCCAGCATTTGCTGTGCTAAACTCCGGCAAGAGCTGAACATGGGGTAAGTTGCCTAGTTTCTTGTATCGCCAGTTGTACAGGTTGCACAAGCTTTCCAAAGACAAAGCCCCCCAAACAGGAAATATTAGCAAGGTAAAATCCCTTTTAACATTGACAGGGCATTTCTAAGGAACTGTGCTCTTCCTCTTAACTTTCATTCTCCCACTTTGTGCTCCTTTTTCTAGCAGTAATGCTTTTTCATCCTGTGCCTCCCTACTTCAACTAACCAAATCAGGGGGCAGACGACAGTACAGAAGTGACAGCTCCCAAGTGCTCTCTGGGCCATGCCTCTTCACCCAAATTAAAGAGCAGGGAAAAGTCCAGAAATTCAGGGAAATTTTGAGGTAACTGAGATGGGGCCTGTACACTTTATGAAGCAAGAGTTGGTGTGTTCTCCTCTTGTTCACTTTTTGCTTTATATTTCAAAATGATATTAACTGAGTATCTTTCGGGAGCATAAAAAAAGGACAATGAAAAAAATGCACACCCCAAGCCAAGGCAACAGAGGTGCGTTCAGATACTGAGATGACCAGTTCCTGGACAGCAGGGAGTGCTGAGAATGTATACAGAAGATGCCATCAAATACCCGGACTACGGAGCTGACGCCCTTAAACTAGAGTAACCCTCTACCTTGCTCTGGCTCTCCCTTGGGCATCGAGGTCCACAGTAGGAACTCCAATCCGGACGAAGCGAGTGAAGAGAGACTGCTCCATGTTGGAATACTTCTGAAAGGCCATGTTCTTAATGACCGGAGGTAACTGGTGATGATCACCGATCATAATCCATCGTTTCAGTCGGCTAAAACCATCCTGAGGATTCTGGAAATGACAAGTGAGGAAATGGCAAACTCTTCTAAATGATAGATTATCCTGCTAGTCTCCTACTTATTGCACAAATTCTTGCTAAATGGCTTCACTAGCTTACTAAATCTCCATATTCACCTGCTCCACAGAGAGGAATCTGGCACATTCACAGAATGACTTGTGAATCAAGTATAGGTG